AAATAAATTTTGTTATATTTAAAATTATTTTAAATTAAATTACATATTTAAATAAAATAGAGATTTATAAATTATTTATCAATTAGTTTAAACATTTGAATTTATAAATTATTTAGATATCTAAGTAACATATTTAATTTAAATTTATTACAAAAAGTACTATATATATATATATATTAAAATATTTTTAAATTAAAATCTGAACAAACCACAAATAATTTAATGAAAGAGCCTGATCGTTTCGATGACGGTCCAGTTCTGAAAACCTTACATTTACTGTACATTAATATATATTATAATAAAATATTATTTAATTTACATAAATATTAATAAAATGATATTTAAATATTCATAAATCATTAAAGATGTTATAATAAATGTATTGTTAATACGATTATTTGAAGTTTGGACTACATCATATTCACGTAATAAAATACTTCAATATAAAATTTATATTTAGGTTCAATAATCGATTTGGTGTGGTCGAACAGATACATAACTTAGTCACCTGGGACCAACCAAGTTGTGTAAAGTTTTTTGACTATTTTAAATATCACCTAAAAGTAATTCAATCAACCTCGACAGTACCCTAATTCAATCACTCGATTGGTCTGAAGAAATTTTCTTATTTTTTTAAATATATTTAATTTTATGAAATAAAAATATTTTATGATTCATATGATAAATGTCTACACCAAATGATAGTATATTAAGATTATAAATTATATATCTAAAGATGAAATAATTATTTTTATTTTAGGCGTATTAATAAAAAATAAACATATTGATTTTCAAAAAATTAAGATTAATTGATTGATTATGCAATTTAAAGAATATTTTTAACGTTCAATATTTCTTAAAGGCACAAATATAAAGACCGAGATTTTAAAATTTTTGTTATATTTTGAATTGAGATTTTATAAATATAGAGACCAAGATTTTAATATTGTTCGTTGTTTCTAAGAAAAAATAAATAAATAAATAAAAACATACATACTTAATAAATCTTAGCCGAATTTTTTAAATAATAAAATGAACTAAAGTCCGAAATTTAAGGTAGCATTTAATGTTGTATAATTTTTAAAGAAAAAATAAATAAATAATAAAACTTATTATTTATAGACTGCATTAAATTCTAACTTATTTTTTTGCTACTATTTTTGGTAAATTGTAATTTTTATTATATATATATAGATTACAATAATGTTTGTTTTACTTATATTTTTTAATCATTTTATTTATTATTTTTTATTTTTATCTGTCTTTCAATCATTTTCACTGGGGAATCATCCTTTAATAGTACAATACCCATGTATTACAGAGTTGTTTGTTAAGAAATTTATATTTGAAATTAAAAATAATAATAATAAATTATTTTAATTTTCCAATATATTTTTGATTAACTATATTACTATTTGTATTTAAAATAACACACATCACTTATACGGCTTACCGTCTTATGTTATAATTTTTTAAAATTGTACTATTTAACAACTTTGTAGTTAAATTAATTAAAATAATTTATTTTTTTAATTAATATTAATAGGTAATTTAACTATTAAAATAAAGATATATATATATTTATTTGTTTTATATGTACAATATTGATGTCAAACCTAGGCTAATCAATATATTATGTATAAAAAACTAATAATAAATAAAAAATTATTAACTTTTAAATCTACTTATAATTTAAGTTAATAATTTTTTTATAATTTTAAAACAAAGATGAAGAAAAGAGAAAGTTTGAGGAAAAAAATTATGCCTACATAAATCACGTCTAGAATAGAAAATAATATCCATGCTCTTAAAAAGGATATAAATATATAGTATAGTTATGGCTATTCCAAATCTAATTATATTTGGATTGAGTATAAATTAAAATCAATCCAATCCAAATGATAAAGCATAAAAAATCGCCTCAGAGGATCCCAAAGCATGTGAGCTTGACACTTAGGCTCAGCAAACTCAAAAATTATATATAGGGGGACTAGTATAATATCCGTGTATTACACGGTTGTTTGTTAAGAAATTTATATCTAAAATTAAAAATAGTAATAAAAAAATTGTTTTAATTTTCAAATAATTTTGTGAATAACTATACTACTATTTATATTTAAAATAAGGCACATCACTTATATGGTTTATCGTCTTATATTATAATTTTTTCTAAAAAAATTATACCAGACCAAACCTGTTTAATAGCTTGGATAATAGCGGACCCTTTGGGAAAGACAAAATCCTAGGTAATTTAACAACTTTGTAGTTAAATTGATTTATATAATTTTATTTTTTGAATTAATATTAATATGTAATTTAATTTTAACATAAAAATAAAT